CTCATCACCTCCGTGCCGGAAGCTGGGGAGAGACTGGGGCTGCGCTGCCTCGGGCTCCTCCCCCACCACCCGCTCTGATGCGTGGGTGCACACACTGGTGCGAAGTGGTGCCGGAGCCCAACACAGCTGTTTGGAGCCTCCCAGCTGCAGCTGGCCCCGGCTCCAGGGAGCTGCTGCCAGCCGGGATCCTGGGCTGCTCCCAGTAGGCAGCTGGGATGCTGCAAGCCCTGCTGGGCGCAGCCTGGGCTCCGTCACTGGCAGCAGTTACCCAGAGCTGGGGCTGGCCATGGTGTACCACGCTCGGCACGCATGCCAGGGGTTGCCGACCCCTGCATTAGAGGCATATCTTTAAAAATGAGAAGGAAGACTTGGGAAGGCTCCTCTCTCAGGAAATAAATTAATTGTTTAAAACAGGTTTATCTGGTTAGTTTGCAAACTGTTCCTTTTTGTCCAAAATGAATATTTGGAAAGATGATGTTGGTGAGAATGGGGGCAGGAATATGAATGACCAGACTTGTATTTTCTTTTCAGGAATACAAGATAGAAGATGAAAGATGCATGGGAATCTGGATGGGAAAAAGGATTTATATGGCAGTAAAAGGTGGAGATCTGCAGGAGCATGAGACAGGATGAAAACCCAGGCCTCTCTGCTGAGTCATAAGCATTTGAAAAGGTTTGGTAATGTTACTATATTGGTACTCTCAGAGCAGCAGTGTTGGGGGAGTCTGTGGATGATTTGCCCATTGGCAGGTATCACAACTTCATTTTTCATTTGGCCACATATTGAAGGTTATCTACATTAACTTAACAGGTAGAGACTTAAGAATTAGCAAATACATAAATATATGGACTATAAAATGAAAATCTCCAACAAAAAATTACTGGCTTTCCATGCCGTCAAAAACCTTCAGTTTGACTTCTGATGCATGTGCATGGGTACTACGTGTACATGGGAACTACTACACACAGAGTAAACACATACTTCTACCACTGAGTTCCCTCTTCACAACTTTTATCTTTTTTTCATGCCTCCTGACCTAGAGTTCATCAACAGGTCAGTACCAGGAAAAAAGGTAACAACCAGTATGTAACCCTGCCTATTGCTTAGACACTAGGAACTTTAACCTTAGTTTGGAAACCATGACTAATAAGATGAAGCAAATATTCTCCCAAGAGGCTGAAACCATGTACCAGTTTCAAGCACAAATGTGTTGGTACGCTTTTCTCTATTTTTAAATTGCTTTTTATCCTCATATTGATGGGTGGTTAAAAAGGCACAATATAATTCAGAAATGTAAACTTTTCAGAAGCTTTTGTTCCATTCAATGGAACTGTGGAATATTTCACTTTTAAGTGAAATCAATTTTCAAAAAACCCTATCCTGGGATAGAGAGATGAAAAATATATACGCCTTAGCATTCCAGGGAAAAGATTTGTACCAAAAGCCTCAGACCCTGGGCACTTCATTGATACTCTGTAGTTCATAGTGAACTCTCCTGGTAAAAGTGTTGCCATAATTAATAGTGGGACTTTTGCTATTCACTGGCCTGACACATCCAGTGAAGAAAAAGCACGCGCGTGCGCACACGCACACAACATTCTGAAGGTGAATTCTGTGTTTTGCAGCATCTAGAGCAGTTTTAAGTGCTGATAAATGATTATTGTTGTTATACTGAATACTGCTAACAATGACAACGATGATGATAATAATGTGCCAATTTGAAGTTAGGTGCACAATATACCATATTCTCTCACATACAACACCTTTTTTCTCAAAAAAACAGCTGTAATTTTGCAGCAAATACAGGAAATATGGAAAGAATAGTTTCTGCCAGGTATAGGCAAAAGCAAAAGTAATATCTACAGGGAGCAGAATACTGACACTAGGCTCTACTCCTTAGCTGCTGCTGCCTGATTAGTTATTACAAGGAAAAAACTTTTTAAAATCCATTCTACCTTTCAAAAACAAGATGTATATTACATTCTAGGGCATGTTGTATCTTAGAAAATATAGTATGTAGTTAGATACAGTATTTCAAATGATCCAGCACAAGTCTAGAATTACAAGGTACATTTCTTTGTACAAACTGCAGGCCTGTTTCAGGTAGTACAGTTACATTCATTTGGATGTGGCCAGTGTGTGGATATATCCAGGGGTCAAAAACATTCACACACAAAATAAATGTAGAACATGCATGGGCAGTGTGCACTGCTCAAAACCGAAGCCCGGTTTCCCGGAGCCATGCTGTAGCTGCTGGCCAGGCTCTGCATGGTGGAATCACCTGCTGCAGTCCTGGGAGGCCCTCAGCCTAGTGCTGGCCCCAACCTCCCCTACCCCACCTAGGGTAACTTGCTGCACTGCAAAGCACACACGTGGCACAAGCGTTCCGCAAGGTCGCTAGCTGTCCCCAGGGAATCAAAAACATCCATGCTCCTGTGGATGTGCCAATGGGTGCATCTACACATGCAATTAGGGTGAAAAAATAAATACTTGATTATTTTGTGCTGGAGTTTATTGCTCCTGAGTGCAGCATGTACACATGGGCCTGGGACCACAGCACACTGAGCCAGAGTGGAGCAGCCCTAGGCTAGCAGGGGACCTGGGGGAGCACGTGTCGATGCACCCATTGTGTATGGGAGAAGAGGTAGAGAAGCAATAAAAACTGCTGAAAAAATACTAAATTCTTTTGCTTACACTAAAGTGTTGGCTTAATAATTAAAATTATTGTTGCAATGCATTTGGGCATTTCCTAGGTGGTTCCAGTCCCCAACAAAAATACACTGTGATAACTCAGCAGAAAGCAATTCAAATTGTTTCTAGACAATGCATTTCACTACATTCCAATTCACTAATAACAAAATGGAAACCAGCAGCTATCAAATATATAATGGATTACAGTACCTGGCATATTCGGATAGCTTGGTCCAACACTGTCTTTGTATCAGTAGCATAATCTGGACAAGGTAGCATGGCACGACTAAAATGGGCTTGCAGCAGTAGATGTGTTTTTGTATGTGAACTGTCAAATGAATAAGGATTGACTTCAAGGGGGAGACGCTTTGCCAGTTCACTGTTCATCTGATCTTCATTGTGTCTCACTGGAAGGTCTGTGTACTCTTCAGCGTCCTTAAAAAAAAGGACAAAAAGACAGTTTTATAACAACATAAAATGCAAAATGTAGCTGCAAGCAACTGGCAGGGTTTTTTTTCCCCCTCTTTGACCCATTTAAAACCAAATATGTCAAAATTACTGAACACCTTTGAGTCTCTGGGGTTTTGCTAAAAGCAGCAACTCTATTCACAATGCTTAAGAATTATTTAGTTTACTCATTTAACAAAATCATGTCTATGTTAAAACATCCAAACCACCTTGAAGTATTTTAAATACTCTTTATATAGCTGATTTTTATGCTAGAGCAGAGTAATGCTAATTTCATATGTACAGAAATAATATGCCTGTTAGTCAAATATAGTATTTCAGATAGGCTAAATGACCTCCTTGATGTTTCCTTCCACCCCAAATGGCTCAATGAGTGTTTTTAGAATTATTACGAGGAGTCAATACTGAACATTTTCATTTCTCAGTGTTTTGCTTCCTTTTCATATTCAAAGACACTGTGCCCTTGAAATGTTTAAAAGAAACGTTATAAATATTAAATGCCCATAGTATCTAAATAATTATTAAAACGGCAAGATTCCTTGCCCTCCATCGAAGCTGACCTCGTGAAGGAACACCTTGACAGGCTGGATACCTTCAAGGCAGTCGGCCCTGATAGGTTACACCCAAGGGTACTCAGGGAGCTGGCGAGCATCATAGCTAAGCCCCTGGCACAGATCTTTGAGAGCTCTTGGTGCTCTGGTGAAGTGCCCAATGATTGGAAGAGGGCCAATGTTGTGCCTATCTTCAAGAAAGGGAGGAAAGTAGATCTGGCAAACTACAGGCCCATCAGCCTGACCTCTATCCTGGGGAAGGTCTTGGAAAAGATTATCAAGGAGGCCATCCTTAACAGACTAGTTGAAGGCAATATCCTGAGGGATACCCAGCATGGGTTTATTGAGGGTAGGCCTTGCTTGACCAATTTCATTTACTTTTATGACTAGGTGACTTATCACCTGGACAATGGGGAAGAGATCGACATTGTATACCTCGACTTGAAAAAAGCCTTTGATCTGGTAGCCCACGATCACCTCTTGGCTAAAGTAGCTAACTGCGGCCTTGACGTCACCACGATCCACTGGCTGGGGAACTGGCTCCGCGGTAGGACCCAGAGGGTGGTGGTCGACGGGAGCCAATTGTCTTGGTGTGCTGTGACCAGTGGTGTCCCACAAGGCTCTGTCCTAGGGCCTATACTATTTAACATCTTCATCAATGATGTGGACATTGGTGTCAGAAGTGGACTGGTTAAGTTTGTTGATGACACCAAACATTGGGGTAAAGCATCCACACCTGAGGATAGGAGGGTGATCCAGGTGGATCTGGATAGATTCATGAAATGGGTGGATGAGAACCTGATGGTGTTCAACACTGATAAATGCAAGGTTCTCCACCTTGGGAGGAAAAACCTGCAGCATGCTTATAGGCTCGGTAGTGCTA